GGCACAGCACCAAGATGGCTATGGAAGCAGGCCCCGAGTTACAAATGATGAAGGGCCGGTTGGAAAACCGTTCTCCCCACCACTCTCTGGGCACCAAGAATGGAAACAGCTGCGATCCTCAGAGCCTTCTGCCGCTCACCCTCCCCGGCCCCACCCTTCTTCCCTGGCTCACACCTCATCATGTCCCCTGGACACACCACCTGCTGGCCGGACTCCTGCCTTCTGTTCCATGCCGGCTCTATTGCCAAACTTTTCCTTCTCATAAGTGGCCTTTATAAAGAAAGTGCCTTCTTCTTACAAGCAGTCACAGCATCTGCAGCAGTGTTGAAGCATAATTTTACTCTCTTCTCATCACTTAGGGCTTAAGTGCGTGGTTTATTCGGGGGATGGGGAAGGGCTGCTAGGATCTCAAAGATTCATAACTGGTGCACATGCGGTGTCTGATTTTACCCTTGGCATTTGGAAATGCTTTTGAAGGTGGTTTATGTTATCTTTCCAAGGCTGATCTAGTGAGTTAATTAAGAGAGGATTTTGGCAGCAGAATGTTTCTTAATATTTTAAGACACATGATTGCTTTTTTCATAGTGAAATAGATGGATAGCAAACTCATTGACACAAAAGGTCATTATTATTCACTAACTGATTAGAAGGTGCCAGCTGTGAGACTGGTCACCTTGTCTCACTTTATCTTCTCAGCAGCTCTATAAGGGAGGTATGAGTTTTGTATACATTTTACAGGTGAGGAAATTGAGGCATCAAGAAGTTAACCTACCCAAGATTACAGAGCTAGTCAAGGGTAGAACTGAATGCAAATCCAGTACTCCTTTCCTTCGTAATCATGATTTTCGCTGGCCAGGGGGACTTGAACTATGGAATGCTAGCAAAGCTGAACCTTCGTGTCCCAGAATTCATCTCCTGTATGGTTCTGGTTTGACACTGGCCACATTCCACATCCTGTTCAAGGTTTCTAAGGCACAGGTGAAGACGTCACCGTCATATGATGCTCTGGAGTGGGTGCACAACGCCATGCAGAGTGGCCGCCCCGCATGTTGTTGCTGATCTGCTGCTCATCTTTAGGTGTAGGGGGGTCGAGGGCAGACCCTACAGCTCCCACCAGACTTCCCTGAGTGGCTGAAGGCTGGGCATGGTGCTTGTGTAGCCGTGAGGGCAAGAGCACCGGGTTCCCCTACCGATCACTGAGGCATCAAGGTTGGGGATGGGGGCAAACAGGTTCCTGTCTGTCCCTGCACTCCTCTCCTCTCCTCTCCACTGAGCTCCTTCCTGACCACTGGTCCATACAAACCTCAGCTCACACTAGACGCAGAGGTGGCAGGCTGCAGAGATGCCATGCCATCTGCCCTCCTATATGAGGGCGCAGTCCTATGAGGGCTCGCTCCCTTGATCACTTGTAAAGGCCCTTCTTCTCTGCTGAGACCCTGACTGAAGCAAGGGGGGGTTGAATTTTATTTGGAAAGTGGCTTGCTCCCCCTCCCCCATTAATTTGACAAATTTAGCAAATAAAAATGCAGGGTGTCAAATTAAATCTGAAATTCACACACAAATTGAATACCTTTTTTACTATGTAAGTATTTATAGCTCATGCAATACTGGGAATATGTTTTTATGAAACTCATGTTTGTTGTTTATCTGAAATTTGAATTTAACTGGGCATGAGTATCCTGTATCTTCATTTGATAATAGATGCCCTTACAGGGAGACCCACATAGCTGAGCCTCTTTCACTTGCCAGAGATGCCAAGAAGAACATTCAACATATTCTTCAGCTGTGAAGAACTCAGTCAGCACTCAATCAGCATGCGAGAGCCCTGGAGGATGGAGTAGGTGGAGGGCAGGCTGAGGTTGGTCCTGGAGGGCTGTTTCCCCCTCTTAGGCTACACTGTGAAGCTGGGAAGACCCCACGGAACCTCAAGTGTACACATTGATAATCACCACCTACAGAACAAAGTCTTGGCTGCTTAATGGTACATCCAAGGGCCTGGCCTATCCCCCCACCTCATTCCTGCCCAATTCACGCAACCACCTAGGACCTGATATTCCCCGAAGATGATCTCTTCTCACCTGGCTTTACCTCTACTCTGCTCCTTGCCTGAAATGCCTCTCCCTCCCTTGAATGCCATTTAAACTCCTATTGACCCTCTGCCATCTCCTCCCAGAAGCTTTCCTGACCGCCGCAGGCAGAGAGGTGCTGGCCTTCACTTCTCTGGTCCTTCTAGCTTCTTTCATACCTTGATTACACTGCAGCCGCTACTTATGCAGGATATATTTAATATGTTCTTAAGACAAAAGGAAAGAGAAAGACAAATCATTAAATAAGGCACCAGTGGCCCGGTGGACATACATATGTCCTGAGTGGATGGGAGATGAAGGCGGATAGCTGCTCTCTGGGGCTCAGTTCCCCAGGCCTCTCATCCTACCACCATCTGAGGATTAACTTAGACTTTAAAGATAAGTGTGTTCTGTTTCTTTTTAAACCAGCAATGTATAATGAGAAATCAGGCAGACCAGATTTGCCTAAATGTAGACTCCAACTCCGGTTTACTAACTTTGAGCAAGTTGCTGATCCCTCTTGAGCCTCAGGCTCCTCATTTACAATATGGGTGTAAGAAGAGCACCAACTTCACAATGTTGTTGAGAGAATGAAACGAGCTTACAATATGTGACATGCTCACAGCATTACCACTTCATCCTACACCTGGCCCGTGAGCTCTGGGGAAGTAAAAGCAACTTCTCCGGGACTGTGGGAAAACGTGATTGCTCTGAGACCCACCGGGAGATGATGGATCCACAGGGGGATGACATGTCGGCTCCAAACTGGTGTCTCCTGAGGACGTGTCGAGTGTCGTGTTGATGATGCTTGATCCTGCTTTCCAGGCTGACTCCACTGACTAACACCCTCAAAGGAGTATGACCAGCAGATAGTCCTGGGCTAGAATCCCCATTCTGCTGTTTCTAAGTGTGTGACCTTGCGCAAGTCATGTCAGTCTTGCTCATTTCACATGTCAGTAAATGCTGATGACCTATAGACATAGAGAACAGACTTGTGGACACAGGGATGAGAAGGAGAGGGTGGGATGAATTGAGAGAAAAGCGTGGAAACATAAAAATTACCATATGTAAAATAGATAGCCAGTGGGAATTTTCTCTGTGACCCAGGGAGCTCAACTCAGTGCTCCATGACAGACGAGAGAGAGGAGATGGGGTGGGAGATAGAAGAGGGATTCAGGAGAGAGGAGACATATGTATGCCTGTGGCTGGTTCACTTTAAAATATGGCAGAGGCCAAAGCAACACTATAAAGCAATTATCCTCCAATTAAAAAAAAGAGAGAGAAAAATAAATAAATTCTAATGCCCACTTTGCAGAGCTATGAGGAGTCAACACCTGGGCTAATACATTAAATACTTGGCTGTTTTGCTATTTTACTATGAGTAGTAAATGGTTGTTATCACACAGGGTTGCATTTTCAGTTTGCATATGGTTTCCTACCTCTCCCCCATCACCTTCCCTGATAAACTGGGAACGTTTCAGGAGGAGCTTCAGCTCCAGTCAGCCCAGGTTTCCAAAGTCAAGTCTGTACTCAGAATCAAGGAAGCATCCACATGCGTGGAAGGAAAGAGGGAGGAAGGAAAAAGAATTGACTCCTTTCTCCTTCAGCCCCAGGCTTATCTGACAAGACTCTGATCAGAGGAATGGATCAACAGCCCCTGTTCATTCTCATATCACTTTCTGGAATCACAACTTAGGTTCGTAGCTGTCTAATTTATTATTATATGGTGCAGTGCAGGGTAATTATACGCTGTGGCATAATTTGTTATAACTTGGGCTGAGGCCTATAACTGTATAATTTATTATTATACAGTACAGTGCTGAATAATACGAAGAGTATATAATTTATTTCAGGCTTACGAGCCTAACCTGTAATCCAAATGCGGCACGCAGCCTCTGTGGATGAGTTAATGTTTCTACGGAAACCTCAACTTGGAGATTTCTTCATTCCTAGCTGCTTTCCTTGACTTCTCAGAACAATCCTGGCCAGGAGTTGCCAAGTTCCTGGGACTCTCTGTCTAGAGTCAGGCTGAAATTTCACTGGGCCAGCCTGAGTGGGACTGACACATCAGGTCTAGACAAGGAGGCCCAGGGCTGTCTCTCTGCCCAGTGAACATGGGGAGGCCACAGCTTGCCCAGGAGGGTCCCAGCAGCAGGCACAGCTGCTGCTGCCACCGTCGCTTCAGTCGTGTCTGACTCTGTGCAACCCCATGGACAGCAGCCCACCAGGCTCCTCTGTCCACGGGATTCTCCAGGCAAGAATACTAGAGTGGGTTGCCATTTCCTTCTCCAAGCAGGCACAGAACCATGGTCAAAACCCAGTTTCCGGGATCCCCAGCAGGATCCCTGGACTTGAGATTCCTCCATATGTTTATTCTTTGTCTGTTCTCAGCACTGGAAATACATCATTGACCCAGAAAAGGCTTCCCCTCATGGAGCTTGCATTCTGGGAGTTGAGGGCTCACATTTCAGTTTCTCAAAGTGTGGTTGGTCCCTGGACCTGCATCATCTGGGAGCTGGATGGAAATCCAGAACCTCAGCCACCTAGACCTGCTGAACCAGAGTCTGTGTTTTAACAAGAAGCCTTGCTGATTCATACATGATCAAGAAACACAGCTTAAGTTTCTACATGACTTAGGAAAACTATTTCCTTCTGTACATCCCCCTACCCTGCAAATATGTACCCACTTGCTGAGGTTTAAAGGCGGGTTCCTTCTCCCTGGGGATATTTCTTCTTCTTTATTTTAAGAATTTTTTTTTTCCTGTTCATAAGTGTTCATTGTGAAACTTTTGAAAATAACAAACTAATAACAACAAAGAAAACCTCCAGAAAATCAAAATCACCCAGAATGCCATCATCCAGAGATGATGCTGTTGATACTTTAGTGACTAATTCATCAGACACTTTTTAAAATCCAAACTGCAAGAAAAAGTGCAATAGGGTAGATCCTGATAGGCTTGTTCAAACACACATCGCTGGGCCTCACCTCCAGAACTTCTGATCGGACAGCCTGGGAATTAGCATTTCTAACAAGTTCCAAGTGATACTGAGCTCCTGGCCCAAGGACCACATTTTGAGAATTGACGCTGGGATCTGGTGTCAGGGGTTGAATTCCTTCACCAGCCTCCTGCCTGCAGGGAAGTCAATCAGTCTCCGCATGCTCCAGCTTTTACAAGCCACAAGGATAGCACCTCCCTTAGAAGATTACTGTAAGAACCAAATGGGTTAATTAATTAAGTAAAGCATGTGGGAAGAATTAATTATGATGGATATGCATATACTTTTATAATTAAGTTTTCTTAACTCGGCAATTGTTCATAAACATTTTTCAAGTCATTCTTCTTCTGCATATTTGTTTTTAAAGGCTGTGGCGTTGTCTTTTGAATGGATGCATTTATCAAGTCCCCAGTTTTCAACTAATATAATATAAACGGAGCTGCAATGAGCATTCTCCTGGATAAATCATGGTGCACCTGTCCGATTATCACCTTAGGATAGAATGTTCTAGTTGTGAAATTGCTGAGTCAATGGGATGAACATATTTAAGGCTTTTGATAAGCTTTGCTAAATGACTTTCTGGAAAAATAGTACTGATTTATAATGTCATCAGCAGCATATGAGAGCACCTTCTCCTTGTACTTTCATCAATGCCTGTGTTGTTTTCTTAATTATGCTAATATTTTGTTTGTTAATTTGAATTTTTTTTATGACTGCTGAAGTTGAATAGCCCCTCTGCAATATCCTAGGACTTAAAATTTTTTTTAATCCCTCAAAGATCTTGTTTACATGATGTCAACCACCTCTTTTCCTCTCTAATGAACCGATTCCATCTTGGTATCACTCCATGCTCCTCACCCCTCTGGTAGCAGAGGCCTCATCTCACTGTTAACAGCTGCCTGATTTAAATCCCACCTGAGCTGCTGATAGCTCACCTCCCACTTAATAGACAGGTGTGGACTAGAGAAGGCATGAAACATTAAGAATGCAAACAAAAGGAGAAAAGTCATTTGTTCCACAAAAATTTCCTCACTTTTGCCCATAGATCAGGTTCTCTGCTAAATATGAAGAGATGTGGATGAAAAGACAGGAGTTTCAAAGTCAGAAGGGGAAGGGAAGAAGCATACAGGAAAGACACAGAAAATGCCACAAAATACAGCAGTGCAAACAGGGACAAAATGGCAAGAAATGACACTGGCTTTGAAGTCAGAGAGGAACTGGGTTCAAATACTGTTTTGTCCAACTCCTCACTTCGGGTAGGTTGTCTAACCTCTCTGAGTCTTAATTTCTGCACCTGTAAAATGTGAAGACTATTTTGAGGCTTAAACTAGTTAGAATAATAAGTAAAAAAAAAAAATCTAGAAACATGTAGGTTATGAGTCTCAAAATGGCTACCCAAGGGCAAAATATAGCCTGTGAAATGTCCTGTTTCATTCATCCAGTGTATAAAAAAAAAAAATTACAGAGGTTCTCCATCCTAGTTGCCCAATAGAAACAACTGGATCTGTATTGATTCCTTGAGAAGAGATCTGAGCTCATTCATTGACTTTATTTCTGGCTAAGAAGGAGTTATAAGTGGAGTTTGTCCTCTCACTTGAAACCAAAAACTGGGCAAAATACATGAAACAACAGTTTTCAACACCTCGGATGTCAGACAAAGAAGGCAGTGATCCTAGAGGAAGAGAAAACAACAGAGAGGCGCCCCCAGCCTCATATCTGGAGGAGGCTTTCAGACCACTGTGCAGGAGCAGGAATCTAGGTGGAGGCCCGTGGTCTCCTTGAGGATGGAGCTGGGAGGCCAAGGTGGTTGCCGTTCATAGGGCAGAGTGTCACTGACGAGAGAGCGGTACAGAAAGGGAGACGGACTGAGAGGAAAGAAAGAGCGAGAGCGGGCCTTGGATATCTGCAGAGGAGCCCGCGAGTCTTCTGAGTACCAAGGAACACATCTGCATTAGCCAGAGAATCAGAAACAACAGGATACATGTAGAGAGATATACAATTGACCCTTGAACAACGCAGATTTGAACTGCCTTCATGCTATATTGTTTCAGTCATGTTTGACTCTTTACAACCATATGGACCATAGCCTGCCGGGCTCCTCTGTCCATGGGATTCTCCAGGCAAGAATACTGCAGTGGGTTGCCGTGCCTTCCCCCAGGGGTTGAACTTCCCGGGTCTACTTACACACAGATTTTCGACTGTGCAGGGAGTTTGCACCAAAGGTCAACCATACACAAAAAGATGTGCATTTAAGATTTAACTTCTATGCAGAGTACATCATGTGAAATGCCAGGCTGGATGAAGCACACGCCAAAATCAAGATTGCCTGGGAAAATATCAAAAACCTCAAATATGCAGATGACACCATCCTTATGGCAGAAAGCAAAGAGGAACTAAAGAACCTTTTGATGAAGGTGAAAGTGGAGAGTGAAAAAGCTGGCTTAAAACTCAACATTCAAAAAACAAAGATTATGGCATCTGGTCCCATCACTTCATGGTGAATACATGGGGAAACAATGGAAACAGTGTCAGACTTTAATTTATTGGGCTCCCAAATCACTGCAGACAGTAACTGCAGTCATGAATTAAAAGATACTTGCTCCTTGGAAGAAACGTTATGACCAACCTAGACAGCATATTAAAAAGCAGAGACATTACTCTGCCAACAAAGGTCCATCTAGTCAAAGCAATGGTTTTTCCAGTAGTCATGTATGAATGTGAGAGTTGGACCATAAAGAGGGCTGAACATTGAAGAATTGATGGTTTTGAACTGTGGTGCTGGAGAAGACTCTTGAGAGTCCCTTGGACTGCAAGGAGATCAAACCAGTCCATCCTAAAGGAGATCAGTCCTGGGTGTTCATTGGAAGGACTGATGCTGAAGCTGAAGCTCTAATACTTTGGCCACCTCATGAGAAGTGTTGACTCATCGAAAAAGACCCTAATGCTGGGAAGGATTGGGGGCAGGAGGAGAAGGGGACAGCAGAGGATGAGTTGGTTGGATGGCATCACTGACTTGATGGACATGAGTTTGAGCAAGATCTGGGAGATGGTGAAGGACAGGGCAGCCTGGCATGCTGCAGTCCATGGGGTCGCAAAGAGTCGGACATGATTGAGCAACTGAACAACAACAAGAACAACACATAAAGATGAGAGGAGATTTGTATAGTAATTGACTCACATGGTTGTGGAGGCCAAGAAGTCTCACAATCTGCCATGTGTGAGCTGTGGAACCAGGAGAGCCAAGGAGTAATTCAGAGTTTGAAGCCCTGAGAAGCTGGAGAGCCAACTGAGCAAAACATAACCCAAGTCCAAAAGCTCGGGGAAAAAGATGCCAAGAAGAAAACCAGGAATGCTGAAGTCTAATGTCCCAGGGCAGAAGAAGATGGAAGTCTCAGCTCAAGCAAAGAGCAACTCACCCTTCTGTCCTAGTCAGAAGGATTGGATGAGGTGCACCTGCATTGTGAGGCCATCTTCTTCACTTAGCTCAACAATTCAAATGCTAACCTCTTCCAGAAACAGCCTCACAGACACACCAAGAAATGTTTTACCAGCTCTCTGGGCATCCATCAGCAAGTCAGGTTGACTAAAAACTAACCATCACAACATGCGTGTGTGGAAATTATCTGAGGTTGTAAGTCTACCCCTTGTCAATTTGGCACACATACAGTTAATCCTCAGATAAAAACAATAAAAGATCAAAATTCTTTGTAACATAAAATAACCCTGTATAGAACCAAAAATGCATTCATCTCTTCTTCAGAAGAGGAAATAAAGTTCTTGAGTCAGTTTTACTTGTCTCTTGGTATCCCATAACTTAAATACTTTGATATAAAATAGCAATACTGAAACACTGTATAAAGTCAATACATCTTATGTTACATGATAAGGTAATAAGAAAAGAAAAAAAAAAGGTATTTACTTAATACATGTGCGTATACACACAAACACATTCATAATAAAAGAAGAAGGAAATATGACAACTGAAGTCCTCATTTCTGTAACTGGATCTGCTGGACCACATGGCCTAAGTAACCTGGCAGCTTGCACAGCAGCCCGGACCCACAGCAGAGTGTTCTCCTGTTCAGGGCCTCACTCAAAACTAACAGCCTTTCAGGTCACCTAGTAAATGAGCTGGAGTAACAGCCCCCAAAGAGAAATATGTTTCCTTCAAAATGTAAAGACATGAGGTAGGAATGTGCCCCTTTCTTGGCTGTAGGAGAGGCAAAATGCAACAACTTATCCTTTTCCTTAGAAAGGCTATCTTGACATACTACTAGACCCCTAGAAATTTCACTGAGGTCAAAGACCCTAAATTTTTGTCAGTTACTTCCCACCCTCTGATACACAAATGTCTTACCAGTAAATCTAGAGTAGTCGCTACTTCCTCCTCACTAGGTCTTATTAGCATGTGATCGATGTAATGGACCAATGTGATATCTTGTGGAGGAGAAGGGCAATCAAGATCCCTGCAGGCTAAACTATGACACAGGGCTGGAGAGGTAATATACCCCTGAGTTAAGACAGTAAATGTGTATTGCTAGCCTTGCCAGCTGAAAGCAAACTCTTCTGGGGACACTTTTAGGTATGTACAAATATAAAGGCCTTTGAAAAACCAATAGCTGCATGCCAGGTACCAGGGGGTATGTTAATTTGCTTAAGGAATGAAACCACATCTGGTACAGCAGCTGCAACTGGAGTCACCCCTTGGTTAAACTGATGATAATCCACTGTCATTCTTCAAGAACCATCTGTCTTCTACACAAGCCAAATAGGGGAGTTGAAGGAGGACACAGTGGGAATCACCACCCCTGCATCTTTCAGTTCTGTGATGGTGGCACTAATCTCTGCAATCCCTCCAGGAATGTGGTACTGCTTTTGATTGACTGTTTTCCTAAGTAGAGGCAGTTCTAATGGCTTCCACTTGGCCTTGTCCACCATAATAGCCCTCACTCCACAGGCCAGGGAGCCTATGTGGGGATTCTACAAGCTGCTAAGTAGGTCTATCCCAGTTTTGCATTCTAGCACTAGGGAGATAACCACAGGATGGTTTGGGGGACCCACTGAGAGATGGATCTAATCTAAAACTCCATTGATCACCTGACCTCCATAAATCCCTACCCTGACTAGTGAACCACTGTGATATTTTGGGTCCCTTGGAATTACTGTCAGTTTAGAACCGGTGTCCAGCTGTCCCCAAAAGGTCTGGTTAT